TTTTTCTTTATTATTTTTTTTGCCACTGGCGAATGGATGTTCCTTAAGGACTCCAGGACCCTTTGGCGGGTGACCTCGCTGCCCTAATCCCTTAATAGTATATTAACAACGGTAGCTAAAGACCTATCAGTAGTTACAAATGGTCTTTAGGCTAACTGGTTGTTACATTTGGTGACGAGCGTTGGTCTTTAGACATAACTGGTTGTTACATTTGGTGACAAGCGGTGTTTTTTGATAGTATTTGACTGGTTGGAAGGAAAAGGGGAAATTTGTTATTAAGGATAAGGATAAGGAGATATATCAATTTTTTTAGACATTTTTTTTTTTCAAATTTTGTAATTTTTTTGGAGAGGATAAGTGCCTCTTAATAAATATAGTCTCATCCTTGAGGGGATACAGAAATAAAGTAATAAATTCAAATTTCACTTTATAAAATAAATTAGCGTACCTGAATTGATAAAAAACAAAGATAAATAAATAGATGATAATTTAATATAATATTTTTTGTTTAAACAAAACATTGACATTGAAAATAATTGTAACAATAAACATTTGGGTCAAGTCAAAGATAGTATACAATTTTATTTATATTATAATATCTTTGTGTACAAAAAGTCAACATTTTAATAACAGAGAAAACTATTCAAAAGGAGAATTTTAATTCATTTTATAAATAATAATATTGAATAAGAATTGCGAAGAGAAAATATTTAAATAGGTTGATGATGTATAAGTATATCTAGTTTAAATGATAAAGAATTTAAAGGTAAATATTGTCACTGTTTACATAAAAATTGACATTGAACTATAATGAACTATAAATATTGTATTACAGTTTCGCAAAGTATTTATTTCAAAGTGCAGTGCTACCAGTAATTGTCGTAGGTCAGTATTATAGGTAAATTTAGTTCAGCGACGTACAGCGTTAATGAAAAATTGGCATTTTTTTAATAACTGTTTTTTTTTCAGAAGTATATGGGGTTTTAAGGTTTAAATTTTGTGAATTAAAAATAATAATATAGATATACAGTGTTTTAGAATAAAGATGTTTACCAGGCCATCAGCAATAGAGTTTGAGGAGGAAGAGGACGTGTTGTATACGCACGAAAAAGAACAAAAGGCGTACAAGTGCGAGATGTGCGAATAAGCACACCTTAAGATGATTTAAAGAGGTTTGGACTGCCCAAAAGAGGCAGAGCAAAAGTTGATATGTTAAGTGATTATGTAGTAATGTGTGAATTTTGTGTTTTAGAGAAATGCGGTCCGTACCAGTTGAAAGAAAGGAAGAAAAAGAAGAAAGTTTGTGGACATCCGATCGAGGTACAATTCCGATCAACCCCCAAGCAGTGTCCACGACAGGACAAAACTAGAGGAGAGGTTGTCACGTCCGGTGTGAAGGGATAAGCTCTAAGGACCTTTTCCTTAGACTGTGATGGTGACAAATTTAAGTAAATAGATTGGAGGGAGTTTGGGGTCACATATGGATCGACGCAGTTTACGACCAGCCCTAAACAACGCTCTTTGATGTCAGGAGACAAGATGTCCACGAGTGAAAAATAGGATTCAGACCGCTCTATCAGGAAGCAACGCCGCTTTGCAAGGCAGCAACGCCGATTTTATAGGATATTGCCGCTCTACCAGGGAGCAACGCCAAGAAATTAGAAGAACGCCGCTCTACCAGGGAGCAATAACAATTTTTTAGGAGCCAGACCGCTCTACCAAGAAGCAACGCCGCCCTACCAGAGAGCTACGCCGCTATGCCAGGCGCCACGACGCGCCACTAGATGAGAAAATTGCGATAGAAACAGGAAAGTTTTAAAGTATAGAGATGCAGAATTTCAAGCGAAATTGAGAGTAAGAAGAAAAGGAAATATATATATCAACAGGTGGTAAAAATATATATGAAGTAAATAGGTAAAGTAAAGTAAAAATTATTTTAAAAGGGTATTTTATTGGAATTAGTAGAATTAATGACATAAGAATTATTTTAAAAAGGTAATTTATTGGGTTTTATTAGGTGTAGACAACTATTTAATCTACGCTTATGTGCATTTAACAAATGTATGTTTTATTCTTAGAGATATATGTTGTTTATTTTTAATGGCCAGGAAATAAATAATAGTATTGTTTCTGTAATAAAACATACTAGCTTTGATTGTTGATTCGTTTCGAAAACAAAAATGGGGAGAAATACAAATTTATAAAATCTTAGTGGGATTAATTTGAAATTTGATAATATAAAATATGAATTGCATAAATTTGTAAGTCTCAGAGAATTAGAAAATGCTACCTACTCAAAAAAAAAAAAATATATATTCTAGTTACAATGTTTTGAAATTTAATATTCATAGTAAATATAAATAATTGCGAGATAGAGAGTTAAAAATAAATAACGTTTTCTAGTTCATTAATAAAAATAATTTTGGTATATTATAAAACATATTTGTTTTCGTAACTATAAATGTGCTTTTAATTTGGGTAATTAAGGAAATTATTATAAATTTTTTTGTAAACCTGAAGTGTAAATAATAATTTTGTCATAGGGGTAATCAAAAGACGTAGCCACTGCACAAGAAGAAGAAAAAGAAAAAAGAAGAAGGAAAAGAAGAAAAAGAAAAAAGAAGAAGGAAAAGAAGAAAGAAGGAGAGGTCAACACCGTACTACCTTTGCCAGAGTCACCATCAGCACCGTTTCCAGGACGATCACGAAGTCCAAATCGTGATAGTTACCCAAATCCAGGACCGTACTAAGGGACCCCAGAGGTCCACGATTCCACGATCGACATCATAGAATGAGCCGAATTCCAGGACTCCAGAATCCAAGGCTACAAAGAGACCTCTACATCTAAATCCAAAATCAAGGGGCCAACCAGTACCACCAAGCTTTCAGAGGGCATGAGTTATACCGCCAAGGGAGCTTGACATGATGTCGGGTCCATTTTGAGTCTGTGGGAGCCAAATCCACAGCAGGAAGAAGATGGAGTAAAATGCAAACAAAGGGACCAAAGAATTCATATGGAATGGACTAAGGTTCAACCCACCAGTAGCAGCCGTGTACAGCAGCCATGTACAGTAGCAGTCTCAGAGTAACAAACGAGAGAAGCAGTCCAGAGCAAATAGTCAACCAGAGAGTCCAAAGCCAGAGTCTATTGGAAAATTGATAGACTACCGCAGCAGAAAGAACCCGTAACCTCAGCCAAAAGGGTTACCAGGTTTAGCAGCCCAAGGACCAAACCAGATCGGGAAGGATCAGGGGATGTAAGAGGTGACAGCCAGCGAGCAAAGGGTAGTTACGGCCAGCCAATTAAGAAGACCAAAGAAGATACAACACCAGTCCGAAAGGGCGTGGGTTCGAATCCCACCGCTGTCACCAAATGTAACAACCGGTTTGCCTAAAGGACCAACGCTCGTCACCAAATGTAACAACCAGTTAATCCTAAAGACCATTTACAACTACTGATAGGTCTTTAGCTACTGTTACTATACTATTAAGGGATAAAGGCAGCGCTTGTCACCAGCCCTAGGGTCCTGGAGTCCTGAAGGAACATCCATTCGCCAGTGGCAAAATAAAATAATAAAATTTACAAAAAAAACATCCCTTAATAGCATATGTCGAGCGGTTTTGGCAACTGACTTAAGACTCTCAAGTCCTTAAGGGTAGGAACGCCGAGGCTTAACATGCTCGGAATATTTCTTAATGGTTTTTGGAAAGAGGTGAGAATATAATAGATTAATAAACAATAACATGTATATTTAAATATAAGTAAAAAATGAATAACAAATTTCAATAAATCAAAACAATATCAATTTTTGAAATAAGACATAGCAAAAATTACTACCCACAATTGTAAATCTTTATTATGATAAACCATGTTAATATAATGAAAGCTTTTACATCACAAAACCTTTTTAATATAATAAAAAAACTCTTTATATGATAAAACCCTTAAAATTGATAAACATTTAATAAGTAAACTTGGGACGAAAATGAAAGAATTGGCATTTGAAGAAAGACTAATGAACTGTTTTAAAATACATAACTCAAACAAGAGATTTAAACATGTTAAAATAAAATATATATTACCTTTGAAAACAAAACACTACAACACACTTTACTATATATAATAGATATTAATACATTTTTGGGCATAGGTTTGGCCCAACGGCCGCCCCTTGAGTCTTTGTGTCAACGATTGACTCTCTATTTATATCAACCTTAACGTGATTATTTTACAAGAAACGACTTATTTACTTTTAATGATTATTTGCACGATTTGTCCTTAAATTTACTAGTACAATGAACTATTTCTAATTGTTTGGTTTTAATAAATATGTTGAATTAATTTAATAGAAATATTAGATATTTTTGGGATTTTTGTTAAATTCTTTATATTTTAAAAATAATAATGCCAATTATTACACTATTTTGATCTACCACAGTCAATACCAAAACATCAATATAAGATATCATTTCTAGTTATCATTACTCATCGTTGCACAATTCTTTTGTATCACCCATTCTTAAGACATAATTTAAAATAAAGTAATATGCATATACAGGGTAAGTCAGAATTATCCGTTTTCAACACCAATAAGAATATTATGAATAAGGTATAGGAATCATGATTTTTTTTCGACCTCGAGTTTTCGACGAATCTTTACGTTTTTGGGTCACTTGAATCCGTTTTGACCATTTTCAAGTCAAAAACGGATAAAGAGACAAACGCCAAATTTTAAATTTAAGCTTTAATTTATCCTGCGATAAATTAATTAGATTTTGGGCATATTCGGAGCATCTGGAGGTACTTTATAGGGGGTCACTGTTTTATTTTAAGGTACATTTCTGATTAGAGAAGAACATTCTTTAAATAAAAGTTGGCTGTGATCACATTCTCTATAATTTTATATTTTTTAATTTAATTTAAATCTGATGTCTTTTGGTGTTCTTCTGATACACTCTCAATTTAATAAAAACGATTATAAAATAAAGAAGACGCTCACCTGTTGCTAACAGACTGCAAGAACCCAAAAATACAAAATCGCTTATGCCCTTGTTATGGCACTGCAAAGTCTAAAATGAAAAAAAATTAGATCATAACCAAGACAATAAAGAAGACAAACTTACAAAGAATGGCCGGGTTGCATTCGCGCTCAAGCCGACTTGGAACAAACTTAAATTTCCATCGGAATCTGCGACGCCGAATTTGTTGCCGTGTTGCGAAAACCTAACTCTGGTTACTTTGGCGTACGTTCCCGGAGGTCTTGGTACCGCCACTGGATGCTGGTGGCCCCATTCCCATAAATGCACAGAACCGTCTTGACCGCCGGTCAGATCTGGAAAAACGTTTTACCAAGTTTAGTATTCCCAAGGGTGTGTAAAAAATGTCCACTCTAAAATTGGTGATATTTTTATTTATATACTACACCCGAAAGGGTAGATGTATTTTTGAGTAGACCAAATAAACTTAAAATGTAAAAAGAAACATGCAAACTGTAACTAGGAAGTTAAATATAAAGTCAACCATTAATAATATTATTTTTTTTACTATTGATGTTTTCGACAATTTTTTTATACACTCATTTCTTGAGTTGGTGCAGGCAAAGCACTCCAATTTAATTTAAAATAAAATATTTAATTTATAGTAAATGGAGAAAATAAGGTTGACATGTTATAGTAGAATATATTTAAGACAACAAACAATTTTTTCTGATTTTTATATTGATATTTTTGATGCAAAATGTGGCTATATAAACACAAGGTGTTCAATTTTTGGGAGTCGGAAGGTAGGTTTTTCTGCATACTGTTTATTAAAACAATTACTATTTTGACGTTTGGGCTCATATATCAACTGTCATCATCTGTCTTTGATCTGATGATCTTTCAATATAAATGTCCAACAAAGGTACAAAAAATTTATTTAAAAAAAAAAATGAAACTACTTACATAAAGGAAGCAGTGGATGCGCAGTAATTCTTCGAATTCCATCTATTTTGTGTTTTAAGACCTGTCAGCATAAAATACGTTTAATAAATAGCATTAATACATTTTATAACATGCAGGGACAGAAAGTTGAGGTTTGAGATTTAACTAAGAGGTAAATTTAAAAACAGCATACTGAATTTATTAAAAAAAAAAAAAAAAAAAAAAATGACTTATTGAATAAATTTCTCAAAATTAATGTGTATTTTTAGTTAAAAAAGTAATTAGTTAAGAAATGCAGTATGCTGTTTCATTAATTTACTTTTAACATTTTTAACCTACAGATTTAGATTTACACATTAAAATAATACTTCTAATTTAATCCCCTTGTCTACAAAAATAAACCATGCATCATTACACTATTTTGCTACAAAACATACTAATTTCAAGCATGTGTAAAAAACAAGCAAAAACAAAGAAATAAATAAGAATGGATAATGAAGATTTATTGCACTTATATTTAAATAATAATGATCCCAAAAATTAGTTTTAAAAACTAATAAACATTTAAAGAGTCAATCCACAAAAAATGTTTCTAAAGTAGGCTATGACCGACAAAGACAGAGGTACGAGGCATGTCCGTGGTAACAACGTACGGCTCTAAATTAAATTTACACTTACACTTAAAAAGAAGGAGAATTGTACCGACATACGTGAAATTTTCCAAGGCCTACATTAGAAACATTTTTTGTGGATCACTATATATTATTAATGAACAAAATGAACTCAAAGACTAATAAAAGTAATTATTATTAGTGTCAAATTTTAAACCATCCGTATTTTTCCACAAATTTTAAACTAGGGGGAATTTGATCGATAATAGCAAAGGAAAAAAGTTAAGAGCAAATCTTTGACAAACTGGAATACATTTTAGCAACCATTAGTAATCCTTGAACCACAATTTGGAGTCTTTATGATGTACTGGAATATAGGCTTGAATTCAAAGTGTAGTCAGCAGTTTGAAGAGAATGAGAACCAGAGAGACATTGAATCCAATTCTGATCAGTATCAGGAAGAAGATAACCAGAGGATCATTAAAACCGATACTGATCAGTATCAGGAAGAAGATGAAGATACAGGATAAAGATACATCGTATGAGTTCTGAAAAGACTGTGATAATCGACTGACGTCTCTAGACTAATAGACAGACCAAATGTCAATACAAAAATAATGTTTAATTTTCTAAAGAGTTATTTCTCATATGATTTGATTATTTTCTTGTGCTTTTCTTAAATAAAGTAAGTAAAAACAAAAACTTGTGTTTTATATCTATAAACCATAAACACTTAGGATGTGGTGTAATGTAAAATAAATTTCTCAAAATGGAAAAGATTTAAAATTCATTTCGGTAATTTACACATCACTGATCACTATGCACAAAAGATATACAATAATAATAGAATATTTGTTGTTTTCTCAAAAACAGTATTTTAAAGATTTCGATTTATCATTATCATTAAAATATCTCAAAATTTTATATTTTACTATCCTTCAAAATCCAAAATATACTACCAAAAATAAAAATATCCCATTACAGAAAAAAAAAGATAAATTAATTGCTGCATATTATAGACGTTTATTAATTTAAACTAACTCGATTATTCTAGCACATTTACTAAACGTAACTACCTACTACTATACAAAAAAAAGAAAATATATAAGAATGGAATGAATAATTTCCAGCCTGATCATTTTTTTATTGTTTTATTAATTTTTCTGAGAAATATTATAAGATTGTGTCCAGTGGTTTATATTTGGCAGCCTACTGTAATAATCAAGTTCTATGTTTTTTTTTTTTAATGGAAGAACTCCAAGTACGAGCTGTCATAAAATATTTTCAAATTAAGGGTTTACCTCCTACGGAAATTAAAACTACTTTAGGCGAGTATGCTCCATCATTTTTAAAGGTCAAAACATGGCTTGTAGATTTTAAAAGTGGCCGTACAAGCACACGGATCATTTCGAGATGACAACCGATTGAATGGGCAGGGCATGAGCAGAGTGCTGTCAAGTCAAAGAGGGAACGTAGTAACATCTCGAACGCACTCGGTCACTCGGACAAAAATCATAACCTCAATCCAGTATGTCGTTAATGGACGGTTAATTATTATTCTTTACAATCACATACTTTGATTTTCTATTACTATACGGAGAATGGTCGCACTGCGCAGCTTTCTGAGTGCCTTTTAAAAGGAGATAGAAAACTCCGCCATTTTGAACCCTTATTACGTGTTGCCTACATCTTGGCGCAATATTTTTAATAGGTGCGTTTTAATCATCCGCTTCTGCTTCGGAATTGTCGGTTTTCTTGTTTTAATCTGACAGGTTAGAACGACTGAACCGACAATTCCGGAAGCAGAAGCGGATGATTAAAACGCACCTGATATTTTGCTTGCTGCTGTCAGTGTCAGTGAATATTATTTTTGGAGTCACAGTTTATTGCTAAAGAATCAGTTAGCTCACTCGGACCAGTTGAAAGTTCTAAAATAACACCCACTCCAGGGATACAAATTCAGGATACGCAGAAGACTGCTGTTTTATTATAGGCGGTTGTCATATATTGTATTATCTGAGTTGCGCAGTGTATAAACTGGAACATTGAGATAAAAAGTGCCGACGCAGAGTGAGCGATCTGATCCTTTAGCTATAAACTGTGTCATAGGGTTCAAAATGGCCGCGCCCTATGTTGGGCGTGTCGGACCTCTCTCTTGCCAAGTATAGTAATCAAAGTATGTGTTTACAATACAATAATATAAAATGAACATTCATAATTTACCTTTAATACTCTTATATGTGTTAAGTAATTTAAAATTAAAAATAATACCTTGCACAAAACCACAGAACAACATTTTTGTGTTGTTCATCGACATTTTGTTATTTGACTTTTCGACAGTTCCTGGTCTTTTAACACGGACAGAGATAAGGGACATAAAGATTGGAAACGCAACGACCCCAGAAACGATGGCGTCATCTAGCGTCTCAGATGTTAACTACAGATCTACGTCGTTTGTAGAGAGACCAGTGTTGTCAAATATTTTTTTTGAGAGATCGTACGAGTAGAAAAATAGTATTTCGACAAAAAAATTGTACAATAAATACATGCATAGCATAATATAACTTAAATGGAATGAAAAAATAAAAAAAAAACAGGCATGATAATTTATTTATGTTTACAACGCAAAAAAAAAAACTAAAGAAAATACATGAAACTTTAAATTAACATAAGTAATCAATGACAATCACTTGAAACTGATTAAAATTTTGAATGCAAGCTTTTCTTATGCCGTGATAGTCGGTGTACAAAATTACCATGGTCAAAATCACGATAAGAAATTACGAACGGCCTATGAATCTTTGCAAGTAGTTTTTGATTTTTATTGTTTTATGTTCTGAAGTTGTTGCAGATATTTAAATAAACCTACTAAAAAAGTGAAGATCGTATTTTTACATACGATCTCACTGATGCAATCGTACATCGCCATCGTACAGAGTTAAAAAATCGTATAAATACGATTTAAATCGTACGGTTGGCAACACTGAGACAGACAGTAGACGTGGACAGCAGTGGACAGTTTGTAAAAATAAATGTCAGTTTTATGTATATCGAAGAATCCTGAATTTAAATTTAAAATTTTGAGTTCATGATTGTGTTATCCTCTAGATGAACTAAGCGAAATAGTTGTGGCTGTTTTTGTGTGAAATTTAAGGACAGTAATTATATTTTGTAATATTACAATAAGTCGGAAAACGTATTGCATTAGTAACACATGCCACATGAACAAATTTAACAACCCCAATATGGCTTGAAAACGTTAGAAAGAAGATTTGATATAGGAAGAAAAATATAAATTTAAAAATATTTGTCATGAATATAGATTTACAATAATTAATCGATAATAGACTGTAAGTGTAGTATTCTTTTTAATAAATAATTTAGCGTACATTGTTTAAGTTTATTTACAAGAACATGAGAGTGCAGTCGATATTTATGCAACCTTTGTTATCAGGTTTTTGAATTTCCAGCTGTGTTGTTTGATATCGATGAAAACGCCACATAGTGGGTCAGATGTTAACTGCGATAAAGCTGGTCGTTGTTTAGCATTGGCTTCTTATGGGCGTTTCCTATCTTTATCTCCCTTATCTCTGAACACGGAGTTAAAAGAGTACGCTCCGAGTCATATCGAACGCAGCAGATCACGAATCTCTAATAAAACGCGAATATGAACTCGGAGCAACCTGAGTTTGTAATAGAAATCACGGTAAGAACGCAGAGCGCCTAGACAGGCCAAAATCGGCTACGACAGAAGAAATGCTCCTGAAATTCCATAAAATCGTTTCGAGTAACAATCTATTGACGTTAGTGGAGATAACTAAGGCTGTGGGGAATTCAAAAGAATGAACACATCACATATGCGAAATTTTGGACACAAGAAAGCTCTCCGTGATTGCTAAAATTGGAACAAAAACTCATTTGTATGAACGTTTCAGAAGAGTGTCTGTTACTATTTAAGCACAATCCAAAATACTTTTTGGGTTGATTTATAACTATGGACGAGACTTGGGTTCACCATTACATACCAAAGAGCAGGAAAGGTTATGACATCGGTATTTTGAGATGCAAAAGGCATTACACTTATTGATTACCTTAAAAAAGATAAAGCAATAAATGGATAATATTATACTAACTCCGTATTTTTTTCTTAGGCTGGAAATTATTCATTCCATCCTCGTAGCACAAAGCAAATGGCAACAGAAATATAACCGAAAATAACAGAACACAAGCATTTTTTTAGTAAGCTCTAATAGAAAGGCACAGTGTTAGAAGACACACCGGTCGAAGCATGTGAGCCGACCGAAGCAGAACGAGGTGGACAAAATTGGCATCATGACAGCCCGGGAAGCTTAACCCCTTCATCTACAGATACAGAAAATTCTGTACAATAATTTGAATCGTCGAGTACAAAAAGAAAATAAGTCCGCCAAAAATAAAAAAATTTCCAGCCATCTCACTAGATAAATTAGTA